AGGCGCCCGTGTGGGGGGTGGGGTGGTCGAGTGGCTGCTGCCGTAGGCACCTGAAACACTGCTTTTCATTGAAAAATATATTTGCTGTCCAGACTTTGAGTCGAGGTTCTGTGTTAGGAAGGGAAGAAAAACTGCTGATTTATGCATAATGCGTATGCACATGAATTCACGTATATCCTATCTAAAAAGTGTAATTAAAAGACCAAATTGAAGTATTAAAAAGAAAACAAGTGTAAGTCATCCTTCCAGTGACTAAATTTACTATTCTTGTGCATCTGTTAACAAAAAATGTTAATGAAAAAAATTTAACAAAAGCCCTGTGGATATCAGATTTGTACAAAGCTTATTTTCAGCTTAGTTTTTCTGAAAACACTAAGGTCTGTCACAAACTACAGAGCAGTTAGTTGTTTGTCCCTATAGAAAACTATTTAGTGCTGGTCTTTGAATTTTTACTCTCATATATTGTAAAATTCCTGAATGTTGTTATGCACTTTAAAACAAACAAACAACCAGCTCCCCCACTACCCAAATCCTTTTTAAGCCTGCAATGAATGTAGAGAAGGAATATTTTAAAAAATACAAGAATGACAGTGTTTCATTACTATCTTGAAAGGGACCCTTAGGACAAAGACATTAAGAATGCTAATCCTCTTCTTGTAATATCTTCCTAAAATGCTGTGCAGTCGAAAATATTTAATTAGCCTCGTAAAATTGTTAGCAAAACTTAAAAGCCCTGAGTGGGGGGAGTGGAGAAACTGTCTGACCTTACCATAAGTAGATTATCTTTTTGCCCTTTGAACTTGTGGAATTATAATAATGAAACAAATTCTGCTGTAGTCACCTGTCAAAACTGACACCAAACGTGAGAACAGATGCTTATGCTTTTACAATTGCCCCCTGCCTTCACCCCCCCTCACATGTGTTGTAAATGTATTTATAATATGAAATTAGTAGTAAAGAGTATGGAGCATATATAAAAATTAAATTTAGTGCCTTGTATGCTTCCTGCTTTTATAGTTGCCCTCATAGTAAAGGAGTAAAATAATTTTATGTTATCTAATACATCGGGATGAATTCCAAACTAGAGTAGCCAGACAGTCTATAGAAGGGGCAGGTATTTTCCTGTGGTAAGAAAATTTATCCCACTATAGGAAAGTATCTCCCAGTATAGGGAAGTATATAAAGCTACTTGCAAGCGTTTACTCCCAGTCTCTATGAATGGCTCGGGAGCTGTAAAGTCTTTAGTTTCCCTAGTGCTTCCTTCTCCTACTGGGTACCATTATGGGTGACTGGTGTGACTCAGATTCAAGAGGGAGAAGCTGACATCCCTGCACAGTGTATGAATGGAAAGTCATACAGGATCAGGTAGAACAGACCTTCTCCTGCGAGGAGAGTACAGGCTCTCTTCCTTTTAACAACTTGTGTCATCAATTTCTGGTATTTCTAGTTGTTAGTTTGTATTCATGTATACACCATGTATTGTAGAGTCTTGGTTTTAGTGCATTTCCTATTTTATTCTTTTACTGAACAACAGAAACTGAAATCTATGAGATTGGGGTTGTTGCAGATAATTCCCTAAGTTGCCTTCAAAATACATTAAAACCATGAAAAAAAGTACTTAAGAGTCTGTTTTTTGAAGCTTGACAGTTATTGATAGTTTACTAATTTAAATGAAGAGCTGACTTAATTTCTTTGACACAAGTGTTTCTTTTTTTTATTTTGAACATACTTTTGCCTTCCAATTTTGCCAGTCTATTTCAAGGCTCATAAAGAGCAGAGGTCCATTATCAATAAGCTGGTTAAAGGCATGAAGAGACATTCCAGCTTTGTTCAGACTGTGGCCCTTAGGACTTCCCACCTGTGGCCTGCACATTAAGCTAGCTCTCACCTTAGTGTCTCTCTCTTATGGCCATTTGGCTAGAGGTGGGATTTTTATAGAACAGATGCTATAACAAAAGCAGCTGTTTAAAAAGATGTTGACAGCCATGGAATTGGTATCATTTCAAAACACTTCAGTAATTGTTCACTTCTAAACAAATATGTAGAGATGCATATGGTTGTGACATTATTACTGTTTTACAATTTTACGCAAGAGAAACCACCTAAGTGTCTTTTTGTTGGGAAATCACGGAGCTGGAAAATGTTGGGGACATTTGATTGCTGTATTATCAGTGTGAATTAGTAATTGGAATCTATTTCTGTCAAAATAGTTTCACGTTAATGTTCAGGAGCATTTATAATGCAGAAAGACTTGATTTGCTGCTATTTTTTCCCAAAATCTGCATCCGTAATATTTTCAACCTTTCCTTGCAGTGTTTGCTAGTTCTGAGCCTGTGCCAGGATTCCAGGGAGACACCCTGCAGTTAGCTTTCATCGACCTCAGACAAGTAAGACACTAGTTGTTGTTTTTTATCCTACTAATTTCCCCTTTTGACCAATGTTGAAGTTATTAAATTCAAGAACCTTTCATGTTTTAGCATTCCCATGTAATTAGTTTTGAAAAGCAGAAGTTATTTGAAATGTTATTAGTGGCACCATTCCTTGTAATTTAGTATAAATTTTTTTTTTTCCCCAATGTGATGTTAGACGGCACTGTGCTACTAGTGATACTGAATATAATCATGAATCAATACTGGATAAAATGTTGAATTGTGATCCTGACGATTTGTAAAGATTTGGTGACACTTTTTTGCAAGAGTGTACATGTTACTGTGGTGGGCTGGCCTGGTTCCAGTTTGAGCAATTGATCCTCTCTACAAAACTACTCCCTGGAGAGCAGTATTGGGCATGATATTATTTAGCATTTCCTTTCCTTAACTTGTTACATAAAAATTGTTTAAATTGTTAGAAAGCAGCTTTATTCCAGTGGGCTGATCTCTATTCTATGTCAAATTTAATTTTAAATACCTCTGTGTTGGAAGCACTTTTCCACGGGTCTTGCCAAAAGGAAGGTTTTTCCAACCTAACTTCAATTTATCTTAATTTCACCTAGTTATTTCTGTTCCCTGTTCTCTGTAAGTTCTGACATCATGTCCAACCATAAAAATTCATTTTCATAAACTTTTATTTCTTAAAGTAAGCTTTTAGAAAGGGTATATTTATTCTCAAAATTGCAAGTACAAGTGTCATTCATGAAGTGAGTCATTAACTGCAAATGGAGAGATTTTAACTTCCTACAGACTTTGGTGATAAATAAATTAATAATTGGAAAGGACTTCATTGAGGTATGTTTTTCAATGAAAAAGTTAAAACGTAGAGGTCTATGTTAGATTCTCGTAGGGGTATAACCTAGCAAATACTGTCTACAATGGGATGAGTATGGGCTGAGTGAAGAGTGATATAAGGTGGAGCCCCTAAAACTTGTTAATATGATACCATATGATACCTGCATATTAGGAGTTCCAGAAGATCAAAAACGGCTACCGGGTATGTGAAATAGACTCTGCCAAACTTAAAATACCAGAAGTCTTGCCTTGACTAGCAGTCTTCCTCTTTTGGATTCTTTTTCATTCTCTTTTTTATCATTTTTAGAAGTGACTGAACATCTTCCACTTTGTACTAAGCCAATTTAGTTCTAGGGAAAGGGTGTTGAGAGATTTTGGCACCATTTCTTTCATTCTCCTAAGTGCTATAAATTCTTGCAGAGCCTATGTTTCTTTCAAGGGAAAATGTGGCTTCCAGCCATGCAGGAGGGCAGGGTGTTTGCATACTTGCGCCAGGAAACAAATAATATTTTTGTGTGTTTTAAGTACCAGGCATCGAGCTTGTCACGTAAATAAGGATGATGTTGCTTATGATAGCACTTGGTTTATGTTGGCAACTTATATTTAGAATTCTCCCAGTGCGAGTAACTCTCTGCTCTATGCCATGGGAATCTAATCAATTTCAGGTACTTTGTAAGCAGCAAAAATTTGGGCAGCTGTTTTTGTTAGGTTGTGATAGGTTGTGTTAGGCTTGTAGATGTAGGATAATTCTGCATTTTGGAGTATGGAGGCTCTATGTTTTGCATGCCTCGCCAAAACACTGAGGTATTGCTAGCACACATTAAAAGCAACGTTTGCCATTTAGTAAGGATTTGCACTGTTTTCCCTCTCTTCCTTATTTGTGATCTATTTCTATCTTAATAGGGTGGATGACAGTTCTTTTCAAGAATACTTAGCAAGGCAACAGAGCCTTTTTCAGAAAGTTCTTATAAGAGGTCATGCCTCTGTTTTTTAGTTTGAATTTGATACTTCTTCATGAATCGCAGGATATGAAAGATAAGGAAGTAGGTCCAGTGGTCAGGTTTTACCTGCCCACCCGGACTGTGCCCTGAGGTCAAACTCCTGATATTGGCTGTTTGGTACAGAGGAGCTGATGACAGGTAGGGGCTGATACAAGGGGGAAAGCTTGAACCGTATCAAAGCTAAAAGGCAGGAGATTTGGGACTCAGTGAGAGACTGTAGCTAAAAGATGGATCAGCAGGATTGCCCTCTTCGTAAAAAGCAGCTGACCTGCAAGGGAAAAGACTTTATCGTCCTGCCAATCACATACTCGCTAATGGAAGCCAGTTATCTCAACAACAGCTTAGTCTGCCTGTGTTGTGCAAGGACAATGTGTGAGATTAGTGGGCACTGGGCAGTAGAATATTGCAGTGCATTTTGCTAAAGAAATAACTGACTTACAAGGAACCGGCTTGTAAGAAGGAAGAACAACTACACTTGGATAAAAAGGGAAAATAATTGCCGA